TTTTAGTCCCAAAAAAAATAATTGTCATAGTTTACACTTTTAATAAATAACTCGTAATAATTTGGTTTCATTGATTTTCTTAATTTTTAGATTCTGCTCTTATGTGTTTTATTGCCTCGTTTATTTGTGTGATACGAAGTACGATTTATCATCATCATCATGTATGTACTCCGGATTACTTAATTACTATAAAGATCGTCCATCTACACCTTGATTATTTATATATGAGAGAATCGATCAAAACCAATCACATAATTCATTCATTAAAAATGAGAAACTTATTTTAAATGTAGAAAATAATGGGAAGAAAATAATTCTGTATATTGTAATGCCTATGTCTAATTACAAGAAAGTGAAGAAACTCCCCTTTATGTATAGGAGAAGAGTAGAGCTGGCAAATCGATCAGTCATATCAAGTTCGGGTTCAGTCACTTCAAGTTCAGGTTATTTCGGATTCGGGTCAATTCAAGTTCGGGTTGAGAACTATATGTTCATGAGTCATGACCCAGTGTCATCGAGTTCGAGTCGACCTAACGGGTTATGACATTAGTTTTTTAAATTTTTGAAAATTCACTGTATAAACACAACATTCAACTTCACTATTTTTGAAATTCACTATATAAACACAACATTCATCAAACGGGCTCTAAAGACTAATTTCAGGGATAAAGCTTATTTGTGTATGTCAGAACAAATTGAGACGAATAAGTTTTTTTCTACTCCGTATTTAATTAGTCTTTTGAAGTTGGCATGTAGTAACACGTGAGTCTTTAACCTAAGTACATTCAAGAGCTCGTGACTTATTTTAGCTTAAGCGTTTGGTGCTGCAAACCCTTTGTTTCAGTGGTTTACTTCGAAAGCATTAACACTATGTTTGATTCAAGGAATTTGAAAGGGAAAAGAAAAGAAAATGAAGTGGAAAATCATTTTTCTTGTTTGGTTAGAAGGGAAAAGAAAGGAAAAGTAGAAGGAAAAGAAAATGAGGAGGCAAAGTGTACCAAGTGGAGGGAAAACCAAATTCCTTCCATTTTGGTGAGAAAAATGAGAGAAAACCATTTTCTTTTCTTTTCCTTCCAAAATCCTTGAGCCAAACATAGTGTAAAGATGTTTCAAGTGTCAGTACATTCTACCGCATCTACAAATTTACTTCAACTACTCCGTATTAAGGTGTTTTTGCTGCACTTCGAAGCTTTCGTTTCATTGATTGAGAGGATGACCGTTTCATACTCACTAGACAAAACAATATTGTTAGCTTCGTCTCGATATAAATTTTCATAATTTTTCATAATTTTTACTAAATGCTTGAATGTGTGCATTGACCAATGTGTCTAGACCAATATGCATTTATTAAAGAACAGAAGAAGGTAGGGATAATTGGCCTTTTAAAGGGGAGAAAAAACATGAAACCAAATTAGATTGCTCCTTAAAAACACTTAAATTTATCGTTTGTGGCCAAGATAATATACTACGGAGTAGAATGCATTAATATACATCACATGACATAAGTGCATTTAAGAAAACTCGGGTGGAAATTATGCCCTCCTCTCCCTCTTCAAAAGCAAATAAATAATAAACCAGATTCAATGGAAAAGAAATCCAATCAAACCATCAGGCTACCTGGAGGAAGTTCCCAGTTGTCGTCTTCGTCTTCTTCATCAGATGCCGTGTCGTTCTTGAGATCCGTGTCATTCTTGCGCGCCATGGCCTCTCGCCTATCCTCGAACGCAAGCCTTCGTCTATCAAATCAAATGTTTTAGTGAGAAGCAGTTGGCATAACAAACAGTTATGTCATATTCACAAAGGGAAACGAGGAAAACGTGCTAAAGCAAGCTACTCATAGAGACATTCAAGAATCCCTAGCCCATGGTCATGATGGGTATACCCCAGATTTTTCCAAAAGAGTCCCGGTCTGTCACAGACTCAAAGGACCTCCTTTTTTGTAAAGCATTGAGAATTTCTCTTCAGATTCCTTGGACACAAGCAGTGGCCTTGATCCCAAAAGTTAAACTAAACTGGTTAACAATGTTAAGGATTCTGGACCTATCTCTTTGCTGCAATGTTTTCTATAAGGAATATTAAACAACAAACTCAAGCCAAATGTGGACCAATTGGCTGATCCTGGTCAGACTGGATTCATGAAAGGCAATGCATTTCATAGAATATCTATCCTTATGACAGAGGAACTGTGAGGTTCTTGAGAGTTTCTACAACATGATCTTATTGCTTATGGCTTGTTTTTGGAGGTTTTCTCGAGAGGAGATTTTCTCGAGGGGTTGATGCATGGTGGTCTTATTTCCTCTTTCTCATTTATCATGTGTTTGGAGGAGGTTTTCTCGAGGGGAAAAGGGGATTGAGGCAGTAGAGCCTTGTCTTATGTGGGTACAACAGAACTTAATAAAGCTTACTTTTCCCATTTCCAATCTCTGCTCTTGAAACAGGCAGAGCAAAATTTATATGGGGATCTAATGGTGTCAATCATGTGGCAGCAGGCTGCCACACCTAAATATTCTTTTTTACTTGTATGGCTTTGAAGGATAGATTACTCACTATGGATAGGCTTCACTTACCATGACATTGATTGTACTAGTTTCTTGTGTAACAAAGCTCCAGAAAACATTGATAATCTCTACTCACTATGTGAGGACACAAAGAAGATTAGGGGAAACACCAAGCAATGGGTGGGCATCAATAGACACTAATAAACCTAGAGAAGCTCGGTCAAATAATTGCTATGTGAAAATCATTTCCAGAAAAATACAAAATTGAATGACGAATGTGTTTACTTGCTGCACTCACAGTATTCGGAAAACATGTAACTCGTAATGCCACAATCCCACATTAAAGTTCTCATAAGAGAGAACCATTGTTTACGCAAAGAGGAGAGAAAGTGAAACCAATGGGTATGATAAATCTTTGTTTTTATGAACATTTGATGGGTAGTTTCGAGAAATTCTTTACACAATGGGACCGCATATTGGGACATCCAAATTAGGAAAGTTGGGATCTTAGTTTGGGACTCGGAGTACATTTTTTAGGGGAAACCCCACAACGAGAGATCCATAAGTTCATTTAAGTTCTTGTTTTGAATTTCAAGGAGTTAATGAAAAGATAAAAATTGTGTGATTGAAATTTAGGCAATGAAAAGAGAAATAATATAAACCACACAATCCATTCCTTAAAAGGCACAACAGGAGGGGCTTAATAAGAGTGGTGAAGGGTCAAGTATGTGTGTAATTGAAGACAACAAAGGAATGCTGCCAATAGATTGCATAATTGACTTTAACTCATCGCTATTTTTTTTGTATACTTAGGTCTTTAATTTTACTTTGTTATTTTTGTGAATTCTAGAGCAACAACTACATCATTATTTGAAAAATAAAATCATTACATGTACATCATATTTACACCCAAAAGGGAACTTAATTAAAGGAAAGTAGGAACTATGGGATGAAGGAAGAATTTTGCAATCCTTAAGTCATTAAATGTTTTTTAAAAGGATTCAATTAAACCAAAGAAGACGTTGAGTTTGTGTGATTAGACAAGCCAACTCAAAGTTTGTGCAATTTGACTACATATCCCGCAAGATTGTGAGATTTTACCAAATAACTTGAAGATTTCCAAACCATCATATCATGAACAGATTTGGCACATAATATGACACCACTCTCTTAAAAAGGCTCTTTCAATGCTTGCTTCCATTTGAGGACAAGGAAAAACAAAAAGAGGATAAAGCATAGATCCCATGCCAAGAGCCGTGTGCCCCACATAAGGTTGCACTGTAAAGCCTCATACGCCTTAAGGTTTTACGAGGACTATATCTCATGCATGTGATAGGTTTTGAGACCATATTAGATCTAGTTCTTTAAATACTCTGGGCCAATTCATGTCCATATTGGACATACTAATTTTGATTGATTGAAGTCACTTAGCCAAACCCATAAAAGACAAATAAAACTTGCTACATTGCTATCCAATTCAACAGCAATCACCGTTCTTCTTTGTGGACTTCTCACAGATTCTCTAATCTTCTCTTCTTCCCCAAACATCTCCTTGCAGATTTTCACGAGTTAGTTTCTCTCTTCTTACCACCTTTTTCTTGTTGATGGACAACCAATTGATGTTTTATCAGGTGTATTTTGAACAATCCTATGCATTTCACTCATTAAAAACTTGCAGAAGAAAGTATATGCCACAGTATAAGGAAAAGTGAACCGCTGAAGAAGGATAAGTGGTTTATGACACTCTAATCCTAGGGCTTGTTGATTTCTACATGTGTAGGATACTATGCATTTAAGGGATAAATGCAATTAATAAATCACATAGCTTTCGCTCCAAAAGGCGAAATTGCTCCTAGGCCCCCTCACCTCCTGCCCGACAGGATAGTGAGAGGATGTAAATCATGGTGACTCAACTGGCAACATAGACTGGAACCAATGTTCATTGCGCATAAGGAGCCCCCCTCATTTTTTGAGAGGTTGCTCCCACACTGTCACTGGTGAGACTTGATCCTTAGTCTCTTGTTCCAAATTTCACTTCTGTTGAGCTGCCCATGCGGGCAATCACATAGCTTTTGTGAATACAGCAGTACAATTTGAACTTGTATTTGAACTTCTTATTAGTCTCTCGAACCCCCCATTTGCCCTATATATATCTTCCCAATTGCTGGCTCAAAAATTCTATACCAAATATTTTAATTATGACTACTGTAATTGATTATCCACAAAATATTATAAACTCAGCTAATCCACAAAACAGATGGCTATTTTTCGTTCAGATTTATCATGATGTGTGGCTAAATTGAAGATCGCAGTAATAACAGGAAACAGCAAAATTGAGCTGAGGGAAGGCAAATAGCAATTATACCTTCTACTATTGCGCCTGGCGGCATCGCGTGACTTGCGCTTCTTCTTCTCCTGCTTGTTCTCGAAGAACCTCCTGCGCCTGCACTCTTGAATCAGCCCGACTTTAGACACTTCTCTGCGGAAGCGGGATATCAGCCTCTCCTCCGGCTCGTCCTCATCCACGAACAAGCTGACGTTGCAGGCCGAGAAGTAAAGCGTGTTGGCATACGCCAGGGAGGGGCATACGACAGACGCGATGTCGAAATTGTCGGACGGCGGTGATTGGAGCGGACGATTATCGGCGGTTTTCAATAGCGGGGACCAATCGCCCTTGGCGGTTCTCAGAATGGGGAAGGAGTTGTCGGAGGAGAGAGAGAGGTGGAGCGGAGGTGCTCTGAGTGATGGCGGTTTGGAGGGGAGGAAGAAGGAAGAGAGAGTGGCTATGGATGAAACCGCCATGGGTGACAATGGAGAGGGGGATAAGGGCTATATGCGGAAAATGCTACATTTTGCACTCCAATTGTTTATACTATCCCTCCAAATTACATTAAAAAATTCCATAAAAGGTCCTAGTTATAAATCATTTTACATATTTAAGTCCTACATATCAAATATTACTAATTCAGTTCCCAATTATTATATTCATTTTCACGAATGGTCCTTTGTTAACATTTCCTTAATTAAGAACGTGGATAAAATTATAAATTCACATTCCTTTCTCTCCTCAATTAAGCTTCCTCCCTCCCCTCGCAGTCCTTTCTCAAACCTGTCGCTGAGTTTTAAGCTTTGAAACCAAAACCAAAATCATCACTCTTCTCTCAATTATTTGTCTAACTGGTGGAGTTTTAATGTTTATTTTCTTTGCAGTTTCTTGAGACTAATCGATAAAATTCATCCATAAAGCTTATTGGTTTTGATTATCGGTTCCACCAGGAAGACTAATAATTGAGAGAGGAATGATCATTTCAGTTTTAAGTTTAGAGCTTCAAACTCAGCGACGAATTTGGGAAAGAGTACGAGAGGAGAGAGGAAACTTAGTTGAGGAGAGAGAGAAATATGAATATACAATTTTATTCGTGTTCTTAACAAAAACGTTAACAAAGGACCATTCGCGAAAATTGGTATAATAATTGAGGACTAAATTAGTAATATTTGATATGTAGGGACTAAATATGTAAAACGACCTATAACTAGGGACCATTTATGGTATTTACTCTTAACAAAAATTCTACTTGTACCCTATATATCTCATTTTAAATGCTAAGAGTTTATCTTGACATTAAATATTAAATGTAAGTATAAAACTAATATTATGTTAGTGTTACACTTGCATTTTATGTCAGAGTTTTTGAGATACAAAATGTGGTACAAAGTAGACTGAGAATAAGACAAGCTAAATACTCCTTCCGTCCCGGAGTATTTGTCCAGTTTTGACTTTTGGAACTGTTCATCTAAGCACTTTGACTCATCAAATTCTCTCAATGTGTACGCCTAAATATAGTCATGTGTGATCTTGTTTGATTTGTCTTAAAATATAGATTATTAATATATAATTTCTATAATTTTTTAATATACAAATTAAAAGATAAAATGAATTAAAGAAGTGTATTGGATGGTGTGTAAAAATGAAAGTGGACAAATAATCTGGGACGGGGGTAGTATTAATTTTCATTTTGTACACATTTTGTATTTGTCACACACAAGCTAAATTTCTATACGATCTTTAGATTCAAATGCATTATGTGGATTTTAGTATATTATTCCCTTTGTCTCATTTTAAATTGTCTGTTTGCCTTTTTTTCCGTCCCAAAATAAGTTGCCTGTTAGTTGTTTTTGTGAATTTTTAAAAATAAAATACCTAAACTACTCCTAAAATAAGTCAATCTTTTTCATCTTATCTTCTCATTCATCATCATCCCTCCTAAAAAGTAATGCCAATTTCGAAAAATCAATTCTATTTTTTACGGAGTATTTTCTTTAAATATGTCCAAAAGTCAAAACAGACAATTTAAATTGGGACGGAGGGAGTAATACAATAAAAAAATCGGCACGATTCAGTGACATGGGAACACATTGTAGTGTCATAATATGATTCGAGTCTCGTAAAGTGCTGCATTTGAAAAATTGATAATTCCTATCTTCAAACTCTCCAAAACCCCGGACCTCCCAACTACTGTAGTAAATCATCAATTTTTCGAACAAATATAGCAAGAGATTTGAGTTATGCTACATGTTACCACATTAGATTTAATGTCATTTGAAGTTAGGCCCTTTTGCAACAAAAAAATCATTTTATCAAGCTTATGAAAAATGTAGAAAAATTTTCAAATTTGAGAGGTAGTAAATACATTTAGGGTCCCTTTGGTATACGGAATTGATGGAATTGGAATTGAATTGGAATTAAAAATTTTTTAGATTCAATTCCATAGAATTGAATTCACCAATTCCAATTCATATTTTGTACTATCAATTACAAACCCACATAATTTTTGTGTTATCAAACACCAGAATTGGAATTGAAGTCTTCAATTCCAATTCCATGATTTGAATTCCGTGTACCAAACGGGACGTTATCAAATTTGGGTTATCCATATTTATTGAAAACTTTTGCATCATTTTATTTTATAGCTAAGTAAAAGCTGCAAAGATGAAAATGGCGGGAACTGCATCAAGCTCTGAGACGATTCAGAACAAAATGGAGGAGGAGAAGTCGGAGTTGTGCTGGAGAAAGGAAGTAGATATCAACCTGAAGAGGCTCCAATCTCTCGTCTTCGGAGCCGAAAAATCTCTCGAGAGGCAGGATTTCAGCTCCGCACAAGTACTGACATTGGGACTCGTCGGCTTCCTTGATTCCCGCTCCGGTTCCGACATCGACGAGGCCTTCATTCGCCCCATTCGATCCGAAGCCTTATCGAACCTGGACGCCGCTCGCCGCAACTTGATTCAGGAATCCGATCGGTACTGACTCACTCAGTCGTTGTAATTGGCGATTTTGAGTATCTTATCTCCTGATTTCTGAATAGTTGTTTCGCGTATTCACTAGATTTCACATATTTTCATCTCATTTGTTATATTGATTGATATAGTCCCCAATGAATTAACTCAATTGAGCTCTGAAAACCTAACTTGATTGAGGTCGGCATGAAATACCTATCTCTCTATATTCGAGTAGTTATGGAATACCAGTGAAAATTTTCAGCTATTAAGTTAGAAATGATTCAAGTATAATGTCAATGGATGGCTTGTTCTAGATAATTATGACTTTCTCCAGTTTGCGGGGCTAACTAAGGAAGAAGGTATGCTTGTTAATGTGGGAGATATGTGCATGCCTATGTAACTTTTTATTTGTGGAAACGGGTAGGAATTTTTAACCTGCAAAACTATGAGATGGGATGTACGCAAAAACTGATTCCCTGATATGATTTCTGGATTTCATTTATTTTAGCTAACTTTACTAGAAAATTATAACTGCTTTACTGCTTAGTTTACCTTCAGGCGAGCTTTTGAACAAGCAGGAAAAGATCCGGGCCGCATATTTACCAAGAAGGGAGAGATTGACATTGATAAGATTAAACGGTCAAAGTACTTTCAAGCTCTTTTACAAAACTCTGAGGGAATAGCTCCTTCTAAGACGGTATAGAGAATGAATAAATTGGCTCTTTGCTTTTGCAAACTGTATGTCATCTGTGTATGTTGCGAACATCTTAAATATGACTTCGCATGTCCCATTTGCAATGTTTGTTTCTCCTTTCATTGTCTCTATCCAGTAACTAAGAGAAAAACATGAATTTGGATGTAAACTCGTATAATTTCTCGTTTTGTCACAGACTGATAGACTTGCTAGGCAGGAAAATCTATCTAGCAAGATCTCTAAATCACCAGTTCCGGAAAATTATGGAGATGTCTCCCAGTTTAACCATAAGACATCTAATAAAGATAATTGCCCAGATATCCGCTTCAACGAAAAGGTTCGTTCAAATCATAACTTCAGGGATCATGGTGTCACCATGGAGATTGATGATGAAGAGGTAGAAAAACCTTTTGGGAAAAGCCTCAAAATGAAACAGCTGAACATGGAAACCTTTGGGCAAAGAAACAAAAATGTTAAATCTCCACTCTGCAATGAAGGAATTGATACTGATTCTCCTCGCAAAGGATTTGTTACTGCTAGAGATAAATTGGTACAGCCATTATCTTTCACTGAACAAGCTTTATATTTGCTTCCTCTCTGTATATCTATCTACCAATTACATGACAGTTGCCAAGTTGTTGATCTTCTTGAGTTAAAGAGACTTAGTTAGGTGATCAATGTTTAAAATAATTTTATTTTCTAAATTTTGTTTGTTATCTCCTTTTATATGTAATCATATAGGCCATATCTAAATCATGGAAACATAGGGCTGCTTCATTATGTGAACTCAATATAGATGAGTTGCCATTTTTTCAAATTAAAGTAATCCCATTGTTTATTATTGAAGAAGTTTATATTCCTAAGTGACTTAGTGTGATAGGAAATGGATGTGAGGCAAAGAAGAGGACTGAATGGCCACCCTAGTGCCTCAGAGTCCCCACAAAGTGATAGCACCATGGCAAACAAAAGCTATGGAGTCAAGCCTTATGGGAATCCTCGACGTGGTATTCGTGGTAATTTTGTTCCTCCAATCAGATGCAATGGAAATAATGCTGGTGGTAGTGTTACTTCGCGCAATGCAGGGAAGGGAGAGGATGCATTAGAGGACTCAACGCGGAGATGGTTAGTTGGGTTCTATATGTTAGTTTTCTTGGACTATTTATATTGTTTGAAGCCCCAACCACCTCCCCTCCCCCCGCCTCGTACACACACACACACAGGTTTCAATCACTTTTGAACAGAAGGGTATTGTTTAGTGTCTAATGCTGAATTTGACTCATTTATTCCCTCTGTAGTCTGGAAATGCTTTGTGGTCCAGATGGTGAGCTTCCTGAGAAATTGAGGAATCTTGAGCCTCGTCTTATCGAACATGTCAGCAATGAGATTATGGACCGGGATCCCAATGTTAGATGGAATGACATTGGTATGGTTATTAACAATATATTTGCTTCATTTTTTACAATCAATTTCATATTCACTATCCTCATCCAGTTGTCTATTTCTGTTCCTTACAGCTGGGTTGGAACATGCGAAGAAAGTTGTGAATGAGATGGTTATCTATCCATTGATGCGTCCTGATTTATTTAGTGGATGTCGTTCTCCAGGCCGTGGCCTTCTCCTATTTGGTCCACCTGTATGTTACATAGTCCACCTACAAAAAAGATAAAAATCAAGGACAGCTAAGTTGTTTAACCATAAAATTCTCTTGCACCAGGGAACTGGTAAAACAATGATAGGGAAAGCTATTGCTGGAGAGGCTAAGGCAACATTCTTTTACATATCTGCCAGTTCCTTGACAAGCAAATGGGTAAGTATATTCTCACTTATTAGATTCTCATAAACACAACAAACCAACTATTGTCAACAAATAATTACTGATTTTCATAATTCAGATAGGTGAAGGAGAAAAGTTAGTGAGGGCTTTATTTGGAGTTGCCAGCTGTCGCAAGCCAGCTGTCATATTCGTA